TTTAACATAAACTGATTTGACAGACGTTACACATAAACTTATTTGGCTCAGACAGGTTTATGCAATGTCTGTCTCAGACCCCTTGCTGGTTTAAGTTAAATCAGAGTTCCCCAGCATCCCAGCATGCTCTCTGTACTGGGCGGGGCTCTCTGCTCCACAGCAGGGCTGGCCCCTCCCCTCTGTTCCCTAGCTGGAGCTCAGCACAGATTTGAAGGCACAGCAGGGTCTGCCTGGCTTCCCCATGCCCTCCTCTCCTCCCCCTCTCACCCCTCACTGCTTAAGCAGAGATCCCTTCCTCCTCTCTGCCACAGCAGGAACCATAGCCAGCATGTGGCAAGCTATGTAATGGTGTCTGAACCTCTTTCCCTGTTCCTTTCTAAGCTAGTTCCTCTTGCTTAAGCTATTACATTGCACATTTCCTTTTTTTCTTCAACTTGTTTATAGATGACTCTCTAAAGTATTTTGTTGAACCACATTTAAAAAGCAATATATTAAAATAAAGTAACATAAAAAGGAAAGGTTGGTTTGCTTACAATACCAGACACAAGATTTGTTTATTAATCCAATGAGTCTGTGATGAGGTTGGATAACAATTCAATAAATCCAATTTTAAGAACTCTCATTTATCCTGCCAGGAGAGTGATCACCCAGATCTGAGTAATTTCATGGAGAGCGGTGAGTGGGTGATGAAATACTACAGAGGCTGGAAGCACTGGGTTTACTATGACTGTTGTCCTAACACGCCCTATCTAGATATTACCTATCACTTCATCATGCAGCGTTTACCTCTCTACTTCATTGTGAACGTCATCATTCCCTGTCTGCTCTTCTCATTTTTAACTGGGTTAGTGTTTTATCTACCCACAGATTCAGGTATGTGTATTTATTCATTTTACTGCACTAAGTACCTATTTAGGTGCTGACAGAAGTGATATTTGTTGCATGATCAGAGCCTTGAAAGCACTCTACAGCCTTGAAAGCCTTGACAGAAAAGCATGGCTGCAGAGTGCTTTAAAAGTGCTCAAACACATGACAAATTAACTCACATTTAATAGGGGTTCAGATAAAGGTGCTCCCAGGAGGAGTGCCTTCAGTAACTTCCATTTGTCCCTGCAATGCTGTCTGGAGGATGGGAGGGGGGGAAAGGCAGGAGAAGGAGCTCCAGTCTGGGGTTTGCCCAGCCTGAGCTGGAATGTGTAGGTGGGAAGATTGGAGCCACCCCCACCCAGGAGGGGGGCTCCAAAATACCCATTCCCCTTCCATCTCCTATCTACCTGCCCCCTCCACCCCCAGCACAGACTGGGCAAACCCCAGACCAGAGCTCCCTCCCCTGCCTTCTCCCCCTCCCATCCTGCAGACAATACTGGAGTTGGGGGCGTGGCTAGGGGAGATAGGCTGCAGGCAGGCAGCCTCTTTCTGCTGGATCAGCTCCGAAGTGGAGCTTGATTTCCCACCCCCCCAATCAAATAGTAAATGCTTATTGAGTTGGGGGAGTCACTGTAACTCAGGGCACTTTCTGCAAAGCACCATGAGTTACAGTGGGGAATTGCATGCCTGTCAGCACCCTTACTCTCAAAGGAACTCATGACAAATGCCATTCTTCACAACTGGCCTGGTTTTGAGAGATCCTCAGCAGCTATAACTCCCACTGAGATCAGTGGAGAGGTGCTCAGTGCTAGTGCTTGCCAAGATCAGGCCCACAGACTAGGATGATAACTATAAGGCTATCTTTAAAAGCTCTGAAACTGCTGATTTTTGAGTAAATTAAGCTGATCCTGATCCTTTAGATCAGGATCAGCCTAATTTAATCAATGGCAAAATGTCTATGTAACTTCAGTGGTAGCAGGATTCAAACAATTGATTTTTGCCTTGTAATATATTTAATATATTAGCAGAATGCACAATAAACAAGTTAATGGTGCCATTGAAACCTCTGAAGTACTGTGTTAGCATTGTGGGAGGAAGATTATCAGTTATTTTCAATTAGCTTCCCTGATATCACAAATAAATTAGTAACCCTGGTTTCCTCCTGGCCTGTAGTGTCCCATGGTTAACCCTGAGGAAAAAAACATCTTTTTATTGCAATGCTTGCCTATGCAAAATTAATTTTAAGCCATGTCTGGAGTTTTCCCTATCTGTTAGTAATATAATTCCCTTTAATGAAGGACTTCAAGGAAAGGTTTTAAAAGATGACTTGCAACTAGACTGAATAGACAAATAATATTGTATGGATTGGTTTTGTCATCCTTACTCCTTAAAAAAGTCTCAAAGACCAAGAACAAATGCTGTTTTGTCCATCCCAATGTAGGATTACCACGTTGCCACCTGGAGCAAAACTAAAACATCTAAAGGAACTGAGATCAATCCAGTGCCAATTTGCTATGTTCAGTTACTTAACTCCTACAGATCTTTGGAATACATGTAACAAAGAAATGGTCAATGCTTTCAATCTGTCAACAGACCCAGTCATGCTGTGGCAGAGTCAAGCTTGAAGCTGAAGGATGCTTGTAGAAGTGCAGTGAGGCTGCTCCGACATGCTGTGAGTACAGCATGTTGGAGCAGACTTGGTTTACCGACTCTGCTGGAGTGTGGTAATTACCGTGCTCCAGCAGACTCCAACATCACATGTATCACCATTCCTGTGCTGAAAAAAGGGGTGCTTTAACTAAACCTCATTAAAGTCACCATTTTTCAGCAAAGGGATGCTGATATACATGAGGCTCCAGGTGCTTTAATTAGAACAGCTCTTGAAGCTGTTCTAATTAAAGTGCCACCCACCTTCCCCCTCCCTTGGAGCCTATATATAAATACCTGAAGGTTTTATCCAACCTTGGTTCTTCCATAGTGGTACAAGGACATTAATGATGAAATAGCTTGATTTTCTTTTTTGGGTTGTGAGGTGTTATGAAATAGTATAAATGTACAACAGCCACGAGATCACATTTCTCTACCTGAATAACACTCTCTTCACTATATGTTGTTATGATGTTAACTGCAATGTTGCTTATTTCTTCATGGCAGGTGAGAAGATGACCCTAAGCATTTCTGTTTTGCTGTCTTTGACTGTATTTCTTCTGGTCATTGTGGAGCTGATTCCTTCTACCTCCAGTGCAGTGCCCTTGATAGGCAAATACATGTTGTTTACCATGATATTTGTAATAGCTTCAATCATTATTACAGTCATTGTAATCAACACCCACCATCGTTCCCCAAGTACTCACACTATGCCACAATGGGTCAGAAAGGTGAGAATGGTTATTTACTGACAATTTCTCTGTTTCAGCAAAGCACTGAGTATTTCACTGTCAGGCTTTCTGATTAAAAAAAAAAAACCAAAACCTGAAAGCATTGGGGAAGTGAATACATTACAGTGTGTCAATTTTAAGGGATGGAATTAGAGCCAGTGTTTACTTGCTCTTTAGGGGGAGAAATATTGTATCATATCTACCTTACCAAGTCAAATCTTGAAGTATCACAATCCAGGTAAAACTCTGGGCAGACAGTATCAGGGTTCCCCCCTCTTTTAAACAGCTAAATGGTCTGTGCATAGATACACTTTCAAGGGAAGGCAAAAGGAGGTGCCATCAGCAAGCACAGAGAAAAGGAAATAGGACACTTGTACTTGGTTTAGGTTAATTATGTAGCTCCTCATGAGAACCTATGAACAAGGCTGCCCAGCTGGTGGCCTGCAGGCCAGTGCTGCTGCCTCTTCTGCTGATGTACAGCAGAAAAGGGTCTTTGAGCAAGCTGCTCCACTGCTGCCTCCACAATTGTGGGGGCAAAGAGATGGCCACACACTACCTGTGCAGCCCGTGTGGCAGGTGGCTATGTGCTGCCCATGCAGCAGGGCTCAGGGGGCTGTGCACTTCCAGCACTGCCCCTGCAACAGGAAGACAATCATAGGGAGCTGCAAGGATCCCAGGGGCCTTTTCCTGCAGTGTAAGACTCATGTGATATATGGTCCCCGGCCACCCTGAAGATGGATAGCCCTGCCATAGGACATCAGGCTTCATAATTTCAGCCCCATTCAGTGGCCAGTTTCATCAACCAGCCAAGAGGTCCATCTGCACCCGCTATACAGAGTTTATGTGAGCTTACCCATGACAGCTCCCTACCCCATGCTGCAGGAGAGTGACTAACAGGACTCCAGCTGGAGCCAAGGGATTCTTCCCTGCCCTCCC